TTAGATACCATCACAGTACTTCATAGTAATCCCAAATGTACCCTACGTCTGCCTCCACCGGGCTTCCCCTGGGCCTTCGGTTCGGCACGACGGCGTCGGATCCCCTTGGTCTTGGCCGCAAGTGCATCTTCTGAGTAATCCCTACTCTCTAATATTAGGTGGTTCTTGGTCTTCATCGCCTTCAACTAGCTAAAGATGTAGGCATAACTTTGATACCCTTTATGGGTTTCTTAAGGATTATCTTCTTAATGGAATCACTTTGTTCACAATCAAGAAACAGTACAAATTCAAAAGCATGATTATATTGTCTCTTGGTTATTTACAGGTGTATATTCTGTAATCTAATCAACAGAATTGAAAGATTAATCCATGCCTACTTGACCTAGCCATACATTTTGTAAAAGTTCTATTTACGTGGATGCTTTTGCAAAGCTTAGCACCCAAAGATCTAGTTCAGAAGTAGTAACATGTTTGAAACTTCAGTTTCTCACCGTTCAGAAGCTAAAACAGCTTTCAAAAAATATGAGATTTTTTGGAAAAAACTGCATATGGCCTAGCTTCAATTTTTACGTTAAGATTTTTTCAGTAGTTAGAGCACAAGAAGCACTCAATATGTCTCAAACACATCGCATTAGAACGGAGGTGAGATGGTGTGGTAGCAGATTTAGCACCCTGCCTGTACAATTTTCTCTACAATGTGACAGCAATATCTTCCCATTTCAATTCCTATAATCTGGTTTCTGATCAACAAAACCTTCCTATTTTGATTCATATAATTTGATTTGGTCAACAGAACTAGAAGAACCATCAAGCCTTGGTGGGAAGTTAACAAAAAGAAAATGTTGGAGTTTAGTTTTTTTTTTGGGAGGGGGCAGGGAATAAACTTTCCATTGTAAAACTTTCAGGGCAGTTCAGCTGGTTCGTCATCTGTATCATTCCTAGCAACTGCCCCACTCCAGTGTAGAGTACTCAACATCACTTGCTCCAAACCTCTTGTGCCTCTTTGTATTAATCTTGCAGTGAATGAACGAAAGCGAGATGAAGCACCATTCCTCCTCTTAAGTGATGTGGAAGTTGCATAACGGTCTGCAGGCAAATAATTCAAAGCACACTTTCCTTCGTGGTCAAGCATCTTGATATCAAAACATGGTAAAAGTGGTCGCCCCACGGCTTGGACATGGGAGATGCTGCAGAATGCCAGTTAGATGTTATGAAATATTTAATCCAACCTATAATATGCATAAAGCAAAGCATTATTTGAGACATGAAGTGATGTGCTGGGCATGAATTGAAGATCACTAAAGAGCAGACCAAACTATTAATCAGTTTCCAATCATGTGGATTCCACCAGCTATGCATCTCCTAAAAGTTCAATTTTAAGTAATCTGCTGATTGGCAGAAGTATGCATCCATCAGCTAAATTGATTTGTAGACACAAAACAAAGCTAATCATTTGACTCTACGTAGGTAGTTGATTCTAGAATGTTCATGAGTTTATAATTCAACCAAAAGATAGAAGGTCCTTGGACACTTGCACCCAATCTCTGTCTGTATGTGAGTGCGTGTGTGTGTGTGTGTGTGTGTGTGTGAGAGAGAGAGAGAGAGAGAGAGAGAGAGAACCAAACCATATGTAATATAAGCCATCCACATCTTGCCTCTGAACTCTACCCAATAGTTCAACTTTCAAGAATCCACCAATGCAGAGAACAGGCTCTGGCAGTTTGAACTTTTGTAAGTAGTTTTCCTGTCCATAGTCAATTCAGCTGTTTAAAAATATGCAGATGAAAAATAATAAAAAATAAAAATAACATGAATAATTTCTACAAATTGGCAGCAACTGGAAGGACTTAAACCAAAAGATTGGGGGATCAAAGAAAAGGCAACCATGGCTGGCCAATATGCTGCTCACCTGAGTCATTGGAAACTCGGGTGAAGTATATGTCCATATAAACTCATCATCAGCTGGTATGTGACAAGATGCATAAATATCTAACATGTCACTTAATTCCTCAAAAAACTTTGGATGGCCCATTCTGAATCGGACAGCCTTTGCCGAATATATAGGAAAGTCATGCTGAAAATAAGCTGAAAATGCAAACATAATTTCAGTCATTGCATATCCAGACACAAGAAAAGAGTACAGACGTATATAACAGGCAAGTAGAATTTGACCTTGGAAAGGCTGAATATGGATCTCAGTAACTAGACACATATTAGTCATCAACTTATAAACCAATGTCTCAGGAACAGCAGGATCACTTTCCCCTTCACTTGACCAATAAGAAGCTCTATCTCCTACTCTATCACTTGGCTCCAAAGTGTTATGAATGCTTTCCCTAGGATAGTTATCAGTGCTGGATGCACTAATCGCCACAGATATGCAATCTTTTCTTATGAAATGATTAAGGCCTCGAGCTAAGAAGGCATAGACTTTATGATTCCTCCTAAGGAATTCCCATTCAAGACAATCACACTGCCTAAGATTCAATGGATCAATTAAATCTTTTGCTTCAATGATAGGAGTAACACTAGAAATTTCAGGCAATAATTTCAAGCACAACTGCTTGGAGAGATTATTTGCAATCACTGCAAAATACAAAATTAATCATGTTAGTATCATTAAGAGGGAGCATATGGTAGATGTACGCACCATGCACATTTCTTTCAATACTTGGGCTAAAATATATCAGTGGTCTACATTGAATTGATCAAACAAATATTCATGGCTGAAAGTGATTGATTTCTTGTGGAAGTCAAAATTCACTTAAGAGATAGAAATGATTTCATTAAAACAGTTGAGGCATATAGTTCCAGTTACGAGCTATGAAAATATAATCTCAAATTGCGCAACAAAGGTAGATAATAATTGAACATTATTTGCTTTGCATACCAACTTGACGCCAAGAACTTGAAACCGAACAAACTCTAACGAGGTCAGAAGGATCATCTAGATGCATGAAAATCTTCATTGACATGTCATGCCCAAGAAATTGTACAAAATCACCACAACCATCCATTCTTTACTGGAACAGATCAGGTCCTTGTAGCAACACCAAACTGCACAAGCAAAGTTAAAATTTATACTTCTTTCAGACTATGAACACTAGAATTTTCAGTTCTCTACATCTAGACATCAACAAATCCAGTCAAATAGGATAAATAATCTTTCCTCTTTGCTTATGCTAATTGTATCTTTTGATTGATTTACAAAATTGAGATTGACCCAGAAATCCATTATCACCTAAAACGATTTGAAGTTGAAAACAAGGAAGAAATGCCCCCAAAAGATATTCAACCTCCGAGGCTAATAAACGAAACCCATTTCATAACCAGAAGAAAAAACTTAGATACGCACTCTGGCGATGAAAGCAAAAGAGATGATGAGATAAACACGCACATTCGTGGGTAAAAAGTACGCAACAGGAAGGAGGACGACACCTTTATGGTATATGGAGAAGGGATATGATCTAAAGCAACGTCAAAGGCATCCACTGATGAGAAAAGTTAGGGCCTTTACCATCTTTAATTGTCAGGCATTGAAAGTATCGAGTTCTCAGGCCTCAGCATTTTTTCCCTTTTAGTGGTGCAGAAAAA